CTGATGATGGTTCTTATATATGTCCTAATGATATTCTGTTAGGTCGTGCGTCAAGTCATGTACCACAAGGACCTTTTCGTGAAACTAAAAATCCTAGACATCGTGTGGAATTTGTTCAGAAATTAGTTGACTCTTTTTGGAAACAATGGAATAGAGATGTTTTGCCACTATTGGTACCGCGTAAAAAATGGAACACTGAAAAACGTAATGTTTGTGTAAATGACATTGTTATAATTCAAAATCAAAATGCTATCCGTGGAAAATGGACTTTAGGAAGAATATTAGAAGTTTACCCCGGAGCTGATAATCGTGTGAGAAACGTTAAAGTTAAAACCAAAGACTCTGAATATAATAGACCTGTTACTAAAATTTGTGTAATTTTGCCTGCAACTGAAGAATCTGATTTGGATGAGGACTAACGCCTCATCGGCGGGGAGAATGTTCTGCAAGAGACTATTGAATTGACTGTCCATGTTCCAAAATGTTTCCTTATATTTTTATAAGTTTAATCTGATCCGTACTTTTTGTAATAACCATGCTTCCGGTCATGGCCTCCAGTGTTGTCATGAATTCAAATAGTAAAAAGTAAATAGTAAAAAGTAAATAGTAAAAAGTAAAAAGTATATAACTAAAAGTAAATGTAGTGAATTAGATGCTAAGTAATTTAAACTAAGAAAAGAACCAACTGTATTATCAATCTGTTTTATTAACTCTATAGAATTGGCCAATTACCAGGGGCTTAGACCGGACGGCTTCATGCACTCTCACGATCCAATAGATTGTGTCAAATGTATTACAGAAAAACAAAAACTGACAATATCTAGTGGTGGGATGAGCGGGTCAGCTGCCCCCAAACTCTGACCCTCTTTGGCCCTTATGGGTAAAAAAACAATTAAATTTGGAGTACAGTCCTGAAACTTTGAGAATAGATAGATGATATAACATAAATCATGAAAACATAAAAACTGACAATATCTAGTGGTGGGAAGAGGGGATCAGCTGCCCCCAAAATCTGACCCTCTTTGACCCTTATGGGTATAAAAACAATTAAATTTGGAGTACAGTCCTGAAATTTTGAGGATAGATAGATGATATACCATAAATCATGAAAACATAAAAACTGATAATATCTAGTGGTGAGAAGAGGGGATCAGCTGCTCCAAAAATCTGCCCCTCTTTTGCCCTTATGGGTAAAAAAAAGTTGCCTATCAAGATACGCCAAATTCCCTAATAAATTATCAGTATATCAAGGGCATTCTTCAATCAGTCAAATTGTACCAAAATTCTTCCTCAAGATATTGTTAATTTGTGGACTTAAATTGTCACCTCTATCGAGTTCACAACCCACATTTAAAGTAATTGTGTTTTATAAAAATCAGATAAAAACTGTAGTTTCTATTGTGTTCAAGGGCAACAAGTCAAAAAACCATTATCGAAAAATCATAAAATTCGAACTTTCATTGTTATATGATTTCTTTAAAATCAGATGAAAACTGTA